TTTTTATGTTTATTTTTTTAAAAAAAAGAGAAAAACAGCCTGACACACTAGGCAGCCTTAGCTCAGCTGAAATCCAAAGTCTTCAAGTAGGGTAGTATTTAATTTTAGGCTATTTGCTGGTATACAATGTCAATCCAACATTAGCAGACATCATTTTTTCCAACCTTAATGGCATATGTAACCATAGACCACAGCATAGCTGATGGCACTGTTTGCCTAGAATATAATGTTCCTCCGAAAAAAAGCACTCTGCTCCAAAAATTAGCTCCTTTTATTTTCTTTTTGAATCTCCAGCAATGAAGCTTTGCACAGGTTCTGTTTTCATTTGTGCAATGGAATCTGTGCAGACCAGCAATGGTCAGTTAGTACTGAGGTTGTTAAACTCTAATTGCATAGCTGATTAAATCAAAGTAAAAGCAGGCAGGGATAAAGGCAGAAGGACAGGTTTTCAGCCTGACATGTATCAAGAACCTGACTTTGCTGTGAAAGGGAGCAAGGTGCTGTAAGGCCTCTCCATGACACATGCCTCCTTTGCTGTTCATGGTACAGCACAGGCAGCAGCACCTAGCAGCTTCAAAGGAGACTGAGATCAAGCATCTTCAGACAAGGCATCATACTAGAATTGGGTATTCTTACAGAAGACCCTCCCTGCCATGTGGTCTATGAGGAGTTTTGCATATTGGATTCTGTGTAAGGCCTTGGTAGAGCACATAGTAACTTTGTTTACACTGCAAGCACTGAACTAATAATCCATATTTATTTATAAGCTGGATAGCTCAATCCAGGCAGCTAGATGTAAGTGGATATGAAGAGGAAACACCAGTGACATACATCATGTTTCTGCTGTGCCCTTTGGTTTGCCTTTTTTCATTCTGATGAATTCTACACTCTAGTTATCATTACATTTTTTTCTTCTTTTATGCAGTAATGTGTAACTTCTTCTTCTTTGCTAAAGAACTACAGCAAAAAGGGAATATGCTGTTGCCTTGACATGAATGGCAAAATTTAGTTTTCTGGCATTCTAACCCTACAAAAAATGTTTCTAAAATCACTTGCTATGCTGAGCAGTGGCAAAACTTGCAGCTGGGTAAAAATTTTTTTCTCTGATTTTCTGACTTAATACTTGTTTTTGAAAGATGTGTCTCCTGAACCTGCACCTGCATTACTATTTCTCAGACCCACTCATGCAGGTAATATAAGAACATTTTGTTAATCTTTTCTGTCCTTCACCTTGTGCAGTATAGGACAATAAGAGGATAATCTAGTTCTGTGGATGAATTAGAATGCAATGTGCAACTCGAGTTTCACAAAACTAATTGATGTGGTGCTTATTTTGTGAAAAAAATGTTTCCTACAGTGGAATGTGTACTCCAGCAGATTGGAAAGGTTGATTTCAAGTTTAAATGCATATACTTTATTTATTGAAAACTGTATTTCTTATAAATGCCAAAACTGTAAAGTGTACATGAAGAAATCAAAGATACAAACTTTGAGCAACAGTAACTAAGAAATAACAGGGATAAGCCTGAGTGAATGAGCCCAGCTCCAAGTTTTTAAAGAAATTTTGCTTATCCTACTTGAAAAAGTACCCAGGGTGAAACTAAGATTGCATATCAAAAGGCAAGACATTGCTTTGTAGCTTTAATTTGGTGATGTGTATTCCAAACGCCACACTTAAGAGCCCAGTCATTATTTGTGTCTGAAGGTTTAAGATTATGAATCCATTTCTTCAGGTTACATAGAGCAGCAATAATAACCTGGCATATACTGCATGGTTTTTTTCATCAGCTTGATGTCCAAGTGCTTTACAAGCAGCATTATGTGGGTTATGCCTGTTTCACAAACTAGGAAGACAAAACTCAGGATGTTTAAGCAAGTTTTCCATAACCTCAAGAGAAAGATGTTCCCAGGCATGGAACAGAACACTCAGTCCTCATTCCCTAAGCCATGCTTTTGGCAATTCATTTTAATATTCAATTTTTTTGCATTGTAGCACTGATTTAATTCAATTGCGACTTTGAAGATAAGTAACTAAGTTATAAGCATGCTCAAAGTGGGCTGAATCCAGCACACTTTTCATTTAATGGTGTTTTATTTCTGTATCTTTTTTTTCCTTAGACCTTTTAACTATGCAGCTAAAACTTTGGCTGATTATACCTGCAGATAAAAAGTATTGCTGCTTCTCTTGGTATTTTTATTATTAGTGTATTTAGTAGTACTGAATATCTCCATCTCTTAGTATTTTCATTAATTTTAAATATATTCTTCATCATATTTATTATACAATCAACACTTGCCTTAAATGTGGTGGCATCCCAGGAAGACTTCTCTTCCAAAGCCTTTTTCCTGCCACCACAAAAAATAAAAGTATTCCAAAAAAGAAAAAATGCGGGCTTGTTAGGGTTTTGGTTTTTTTTAAATTACAAGATTACATGCACAAATCAGCTAATTAAACAATGGCCATTTCTCTATTTATTCTCTTAATTTTCCTTAATTCCTCAAATTATGGGAATTGAGAGTTTTCATTATTTGACTCTATCCCAAATACAAGAATAAATGCTACGCTGTCTTCTGTGAGCACAGTGGACTAACATGCTCCTATGTTTATGTAAAACTTAACATAATAAAATCTGCTTTGATGTTAATTGTAGCACAACAGATTTTATGTAGGAATTAGAAATTGTTTATTGCCGAAGTTGTTCTAAGGGGTTCTCTAAAAACCTCTCTAGAAAAAGGTTGGCCTTTCTCATAATGAATATTAAGAGGCTCCTTTGTTTTAGCTTTAACAAAGTCAACTGACGAATTTCAGATAAAACTAATATTCCCTAGAGGACTGTAAGCTCTCTTTCCTACTGGTTCTCTTTTTCGTGGGAAGCCTGTGATTCTAAGGTTGGTCCCTGAAGACTGTTTTGGCCACTTGAAGTATGGTTGCTTAGTTTATATTTCATAATAGTTGAAGTTAATAGGCACCTGGAGAACAGCAGTTTATTTCTAAAGAGCTGAGAATGGAGACTAACAAAGAAAGCAGGTTTGCAGTGAGTGTTAGTATTTGGTTAATGAGATGGAGAGCTGGGACCCCATGACAACTTTCTTTCTGAATTGCAATTGAAAAACAGTGACTCAAATTATTTGAGTACCTGCAACTAGAGTGTATTTATGTTGTATAGTAGTGTCTAAATATGTAAATATTTCTAGTTTTATTTCTTGTAACTACAAGTAAGACGCAGAATCTTGTCTGATACACTACTGAAAACAGACCATCCTGAGATATTTATTTTGTGGCAAAGCAGAAATAATCGTTGAATATTCCAGTTCAGTATGGTATTGCAAAAAACTTAGTCAAAACATCTGCTTTGCTTTTTTTTTCCCCTACATAAAATTGGAACAATGATTATATTTATAAATAATAAATAATCAAGAAAACTAAAAATAACCCAGCTTTAAAACAGACAGATATTCTGTAACAGTCAAGGATCTCTATTTTATTTATTTTTTTTTTCATTACCTATTACATCTGTTAAAGGAATAAAAGTTTCACAACACAGGGCTTGATTTATGTGCACTTCCATGGATGTGTGACCTACACAGTGACAGACCCAACTGTTACTAAAGGTCCTGTGACTGTATGACCCTTCGAGCTAAATTTACCACAAATGCCTTTTCTATTCATTGAAGTTAACTTTCGTGATTCCATATAACCCTTACAAAAGGTCCTTTGCAAGTTACTAAGTGATATTTGGGAGATAAGTGACAGAAAACATGGAAAACATGAAGAACAAAGTGCAGAGCAAGAAACATTATTAACATTCCTTCTGCTGTTGTGGAACACTTTACATGCAGATCACTGGCAAAAACCTCCAGGGCAGTTAGGATCTTTCGTGGTGATATACAGTGTAGTTCAAAATACATTTATTGTACTGTTACAAAATAAAGCCAAAGGCTGTAGAGAGCCTTACACACATTCCAATTTGGTTATTTTTTTGATTTATTGATGCATAATCTGTTTATAATATTTTTCTTCTATTTGCTAAGTTCATATAAATTTTATAAATGCAATTACAGTGCTTATTTTCATTATTAACCTAGATGCAGTACCATCCAAAATAATGTACTGCAACACTTGTAGAGAGTGAAAAGGAATGGCTGTTAAGCATGTAAACACTTGTTCAGCAATAAATTTGTTCTTTCAGTTAAAACCAATTCTAACACAGTACAGAGCATTTGCAAAAATTTATAAATTAAATAATATAATGCCTATTTTGTTTGGTACATTTCCCCCTCTTAAATGCTGAAATTGCCAAATATATCAACATAAGAATTAAGTCTCAAATCTTTTATGATAATTTTTTGGCTAGAAATTATAAATTCAAATTTTTTGTAATGCATAAACTATTAATGTAATTATTATAACAGGAAAATATATATGCAGTACAGCAGAAAGGATGTCATGTTATAGTTCTTCAATTAAGGTATTTTGTCCTTCAGTGATTAATAACAATCACTATGTGTATGTGTGTTTGACTTTAAAAGTCAACAAGGAATTTAATTTTTACTTAACTTCTCCACAGTGTTCTGAATGCCTTTCAGACAGGGAATACTTTCTGGTTTGTTAAGTTTGACAATAGTACTTATTCACAGTATCTAAACAAGTGTTAGGAGAAAGAGAAAGGGAAGAATTACACTTCTAGCTGAGGGTTTTAGTTGACTTGGAATAAAAAAAAAATCTTTGTTCCTTTCTTTACTCCACAGAGACTAAATTTATCTAGAATGTCTGTAAGTGGAATTTCTCTGCAAACTCAGAAATGCTCCTGTAACTTACATTCATTCTTTCCTTTCATAGTACTGTTTCTTTTTTTTTTTTTTTTTTTTTTTTTTTTTTTTAAATGTTATTTACCTTTAAACCTGTTGTTATCAACCTGCATGAAAGAGATAGGGACTCTTTTCAGCTGCCTTCATTCTCATGTGACCTGAAGGGAGAATAGGTTCAAAATAGACTAGTTCCTCCCAGGGCAATACAAGACAGAAAAGAAAAGCAGTGTCATTTCCGAATAGCACAGTGCTAGAGTAAACTCAGCATGAAAAAGGAAGGAGTTGCAGCATGTTAGAATTCTTCCTCCACAGCCGGGATTTTTACATGAGAAGGATTTGGAGGGTGTTAAAACAGCAGAGGATTTTAAAAAAATACTTTGAAATGGAGTACTTTGAAAATGAGCTTCTTAAGGACAACTGATGTCTGACTGCTAGTAATACTAAAGGAATTTTTCAAAATGAGCATTGTTATGAAGCCAAGATCCCGATCTACCAGCTCCTTAAGGACTGCCGACGCAATGTGGTAATGTGGCTTGTTTGTTTCTTTCAGGCTCTCCTTCCTATTATGACACAGTGATATGTCCCAAGAAAGTCACAGGCTTTAGTTTTGATTTGATAGATTTTGCATGGTTATTGAAGATGTTCAGCTGTTGAGTTGCACAATAACGAGTAAGAAACAAAATTATTTAGCTTTTTGTTTTAAAATACAATGTATATAATTTTTTTAAAAGAGAACCCTTTTCATACTTCTTGTAACACATGACATGGATTTTTACCCACTCAGCAGTCAGGTTCAATCCTTACAGTTAGAGATACCTTGTAAAAATCTTCAGTAGACTTGTTTCATTAAAAAAAAATCGTAACAAAAAGCTTGGATTTCTGGAAGCTGGAGAGTAAAATGAAGTTTTTAGTTTGTGTGAGCTATTTGGGATGCTTACATGTAGTTTTGCTGCATAAATAGGCTGACTGTTAAGGATGCGTCCTGGGAAGCAGCAGACTTTGTAGCAGCATGTGTGAGACTGCTGCGTTATGCTTCATGTGTTTCCTCTGCTCTCTGAGGCTCAGAGGAGTAGAAGTAGTTTGTGATATTGATCTTTCTGTATGATTTTCTTTCAGATTTTTTCAGTTATTAATCAGCAAAGCTTTGTCTTCTGAATAATTTTTTTCCTTATGCTTTTAAGCATCACTTTATGATTTTTAAAATTTGATAGGCATTGACAGCTTTCTATTAAGTAATAGAAAGTTAGAGAGTAAATAGAAAGTTCCATTTACTCTCTTAATGTGTCCCACGTTTTGTTCTTTGTGTCTTAATAAAACCACCATAATTTTAATAAACAAATAATAGAGTAGTTTTTCACAGCTATATTTTACAGGTATAAAAGATGTATTTTAAATATAGTTATTTTTTAAAATATAGCTTTTTTTAGCTGATGTGTTACTGGGGGTTCGACTAGTAACTAAATACAGTTCTTTGTGAGGGAATGCATCCAGTTAATTGAATATTTGCCTTATAAAACCTTTATGTTTCAAATAGTTTTGGCTCTGAGTAAAAGCCATGTGAGTATTACTGTTAAAGCAGTTAGTAATTTATTCCAGTTATCTTTTGCTGAAACGGTTTTGCAGTAAAAGAAAATTAAACATGTACACCACTCAATCTAAAAAGTAGTCCTAGTTGTTCTCAGAAAGTGCCTAGGCAGAGTTCTGCTGAAATAAATGCTGTAAGTTGTGTCTGTATGTCTTTATTAAAATGCAATACCATGTTAGTAAACTAAATATTGCTAATGTGCTACACTCTGCAGGGTGTCTCCAAGGAAGTGAGCTAAAGCATACATACCTTAGCTATTACGTACAACTGTGCAAATAAATCAGTACCTCTGATTAAGTCTACCTTTTTTTTTTCCTCTTTTTTTTTATTGTTGTCTGCCTCCGTTAATTCTCACAGCAAAAAAATAGTTTAAAAGAAAAAAACATCCTTGTAATTGATAGTTTCAGGCTCATTTGAACACCAAGTATTCTGTCTGAAATACCTTCCTGCCTCCCTTTTGTTGCTGTTGCCTTTAGTTATAGCTCTAATCTGATATCTGAGAATACCTGTTCTGCTGGTTGTAAACTGGGAGTCCTCTGCTACCCTGCTGCTTGGGAGCACGACCCGAGCTCAGTGGCTCTCAGGGAGACACTTGAAGGCTACTGGAGAGGGTACATGCTGTTCTCTGGCGGTGTGGAGCAAAGCCAGGCAGGCCCTGTCCCAGCCAGAGGGAAAACGGAGTGCAGAGATAAGAGAGAATGGGAGGGAGCTGCTGGCTGCCCACACCAGCTCAGCTCCTGCAGGGAGGTGGCAGCTGAGGCCAGACCACCCTAGCCACAGCCAGCAGCCTTCCAAGTGGGCCTGAGCAGGACCAGTTTCCAAACCAGCTGCCTGACTTCACTTTGTGTGCATTAGTGCCTGAATCTGTGGGTGTGCTCCCGTGGGCCAGAAATTTCTGCAGTTATCTAGGAGAGAATAGCAAGACTGTAGTCTTGACACTATGTTAATGCTTAGGGACAAATGAAATCAGGGTTAAATCAGAAGCACTGGTAGGTGTTCAGGCCAGAAGACAGCAAGAGCATAATTCTCCTTTCTGAATCTGTTGACATAGTTATCCCACTCTACGTAAGAGGAGCAGGAGTGCCTGGGAGGAGGGTCTCAAGGACACAGAGGCTTGAGTGACAGGGCTGTTTTAAAGTATGGATAGCCCTCCTACAAGGTTTCGAGAAAATATGATCCCAGGATTTCCTCTTATCATTTCTCACATGAATAAAGTTAATATGAAGATCAGAAACTGGGCTTCCAACACAAAAAGACCAGTGAAAGAACAGAAGAGATGTAAAGATAAGACAGAGAAACCTCTGCTCTTGGAGCCCTGAAAACAGACTCCCTCTTTGTCCAAAAGACACAGTAAGTTCATTGTAAAAGCATATGTGTAGTAAAAGCATGATTTTCTTCTCAGTATCAATATTAGAAAGCAATCAAAGTGTATCTCCACTGGTGGTGCTACGATAGGTACCCCAGCTGACTTTGAGCAGTCTATGCATCCCCTTTACAGCTGTTTGGGTTGGGGATAACTACTGTTTAGTGTGATGGCAGGATCTGTAAGCAAACCTCTTTCTGATGTGCCTTGGAAAATTTATCCTGATATTATGGTGACTGAAGTAAAAGAAAATGGTTGGTATTTATATAGAACAAGAAAGTGACTTATATAAGGGTTATTACCTAATTAATGGTGCTCAATTCTATCACACACTCCCACTCATTCCCCAATTCAGGGTGTGATTGTGAAGTATGGTTTTATATCATAAATCTTTTGGAGAATAATCTAGAAGGGATTGTGCAGACTTTTCAACTAAGACAGCTGATGTGTCTTTTTGTTCCAGAGAAGAAATAAAAAGGGAGTAAGGAAATCACAGTAAGTTAAACTTTGGCTGAGACAGCCAAATGAGAATATGATTACATTTTCTTGACTATTTGCCACTGGACAGTAAAGCAGTAATGTTCCTCTGAAAATGTCATATTTCTTCTGATTTTTTCCTTTTGTTATGAAAGAAAAGTTTGAATATATAAAAAAACTCTGTTTGGAAGAACTGAATTAAAATTTTGGAAGTTTAATTGAGAAGTTGAGAATGCTTGCTTGATGGCAGGTCAAGCAGGCAGCTTTGGTTGTTGGACAGAACCTACTGGCTGGAAATAGTGCAGCTGATCAGATTTTAGGACTGCCTTTGTTTTTCATGATACATAAAACTAGCCAAAAGAGCTATAAGCCTCTGGAGTATTGTCAACTTTTTCCACAATTCTTTTTGCATGATGTGACTAGAGATGGTTACCTGTTTACTTTGTGAGTTGGCATTACTGGGTTTTAATTTGTTTTTGCAACACTGACCAGTTTGGGCTTTTCTGGGTTTTGGAACTTAGGGTTGATTGGTCTGCAAATGTCACAGCCTGTTTAGTGACCCAGAGAGCAGAGGTCTTCAACACTTCAATCTCTGGGATTATGTAAAATGATGCATCTGTTCTTACTTAGCTCTAGAAGTGGGTGTTATTGCTTGTCTGAAATATGATGAAGTTCAGTATATTGGAAATTACTGAAAGATGTTGTCAAATATGGATTTCTCAGTCTGTGACATTCTTATAGATAAGTGGGACAAAACTGATGTCTTGTATGGACTTTCTCTGACCCTTAATATGTGGATCACAAGAGGGATACTAAATAAAATTTTCCTGAATGGAGACAGTAAAATTCTTGTGGCTTGACATCAGTGAATAGTATTGCTTCTGGGACAGAAGAGCAAGAACAAATGAACAAGCTGACATTCAGCTGTGCTGACCTCAGGTAGCTGCACTGCATTCTTGACTTAAAGGTACCGTGAAGTGGAACTCACATCAAGCGTGACCCAGTCTTTTGGTAGCCCTGTCTGACAGGAGGAAGCTGTGGCCACATTACACTGCTTACAAACTGGCCATCCCAAAACAATTCAGATCTTTGCTAGAAAGATGATGAGTTACAAAGATGACACATATTTTCAGTAAATTAAACTGAATGAGTCATATACATCTAGGTTATTATTATCAGACCTATATTTAAAGTTAGCTGCTGACTGCCAGGATGGGAATCCCAATGCTGGTGAGATCAACACCAAAACCAGGGTATTCCTTGAAGGAATCTTTGTCTACAGGGCAGAGTTTATAAGCATAGGTAAATGTAACTGTGAGCGATATTAACAATATTCATATCACTTGTCTGCTAAAGGTTTCCTATTTCTCTGTTGGGTGAATTTCTTTTCCTCTCCAGCATTATGATTGTCTGTGTGAGGCATTCTTGGTGATATTACTTGTCCCTTGTTCCCATATCTTAAAAACTGCTTTTAAGCAAAAGAGGGTTGGGACCTCACATAATATCCAATTGCACTTTTAGTAGTTGAAGGTATTGAAAAGAGTGTCCTGGGAAAGTTCAGTGCAAGCTGCACACCATCCAAACTCATAGGCAGGGATCAAAGTACAAGTATCATATGTAAAATTGTGGGATTTCTGAATGTTGAGGAAAGTCTGCAAGCTACAGATAGCCTTTCCTACATGAAGTCTGACTTTGATGGACCTTATAGGTGGCTTCACTAAGAAAAAAAGACTTCCTTTTGAGGCACTAGGGGCCTCAAATCTATACAAACAGAAATTCAAGGTGGTAGATATGCTTTTATTTATTGTTCAGTGCTAATGAGGAAGTCTGCACAGTTAGCATGACACTATTTTCCAGAGTGCAGTATGTTAAAAAGTACTATTTTTACAAAATGGAAGGGAAAAAATGCAGTTTTGTCAACAAAGTAGTGGTGGATTTTTAAATGATCAAGTAGTCTATTTTCTAGCAGAATAAGACATGTCCTAATGGGCCTGGCCAATAATCTTTCTAGCCTAGTATTCTGTCATCATCTGCAGCAATAGGAATGGGTCCCTGTCCAGTTTCTGCAGTCCATCATGTTGCCCAGCAATTACTGGTG